ATATATAATAATAAATAATAAAAATAAAGAACACACACACACACACACACACACACACACACAGAAAATTTATATAAAAAAGAAGAATGATATTCTCCCTTATTCTTCGCACTCTTTCTTTCCGCAAGCAATTGTCTGCCTAATTTGGTCGTCCACTCAACTCTGCGTCTGATAAATTTAATTTATGACGTGATCAGCCATTCCAAGTATTATTACTGCATATTGATGCAGTCATGGCGCAGTGGTGCTCAGAGTTGCATGGCCATCGATATCGTACGTGACGCGGAAACATAAACAAAGAATACTAAAATCTCGCTGACATGTCGGTTCGCATAGGTAACCGGTCTCCCTCGGGACGTTAAATAATTCACCACAACTGGGACTGGGAGAGTCGGACGAGAAGCGGGGTTTGCGGAGGAGCAAAGGAGACGGGGGGTTGGTTGAAGAGCCGATTAAATATTCAGATGTCCCTCAACGCAAATAGAGTAAAGTCAAGCGCGACGTCGAGCGCAAAAGCACACGTAATCTAAAAACTATGTGAGACTAGTCGAAGGCGAGACCACCTTGCGCCTGATAACGAACTTCCTACGACGTATATCTCCGGCAGACCATTTTCAAAAGTCCTACCAATGGAGGTGGATTGCGCGAGGAGAGGAATAATGGCCCTCGCGCGGAGAATCGCGCGATGAATATTCCGGTCCGGACAACGTGCCCCCTGTGCGTGGGCGCTTTTACGACGGCTACACATTTCCGGTCAAGCGATCTCACGGGGGCGCCGATTTCAACGACCAATCACCAGCACGACGACGTAGCGTCGTAGCTTCGGCGCATAAAAATATGTCACTGGGGTGCCGTAATATCTCCGCTGTTGAGACTTATCGACGAGGAAAAGCGCCTTGTCACCCCCCTCCCCCCCTCCCCCCCTCCCCCCCTCTCCCTCCACCGGAGTCTTGATTCCCGGACACAACACGTTCAGCGATCGTATCTTCCCTCAATGGGGTGGACGCGCTTTCGTTTCTCTTATCGCACCCCCGTTCTCGAAAACGCAAAAACCGACCGCTGACCGGCGACGGTGTCGGACAACCAATTGCCGGCCGGCTAAAAAGAATTATTCAACGAGGCGTGCGTCTCGCTCCCGATCGTTGTTCTAATTATCTCAGTAACCCAATCTATCCGTCGTGCCGCGTCTTGGCTTCCCGCCTCCCTTCGGAACTTCTCGATTCTCTCGTCTCGGTCTGCCGCCGGCCTCTAGCACAGTCACCCTCCTCGACTCCTCCTCACCCCTCCGTCGTTGCTACCGTCGTCTTTCGTACGATCATTTCTCTTCGTTCTTCTTTGTCCCGTCCACACGCTAGAGGATGCGTCCGGTCGCATCCTCGTCTCTTCTCCTCTCTCTTCTTAGCAGCACGCCATCCTCCTTCTTTCGATCTCGGAGTCTAACTGCGGGATCGCCGACGACCGCCCATCTAAGTTTAACAATTAACGCTAGAGCGGGGAAAAATAAATTAATTGCATGCAGCCGGTGTGCGAGACATGTCACGAACATTCGATCTAATCGACAAGAGATTCTGTTGTCTTGCGTAAGAGATAAATAGGATTTCTTTTCCCTACTTTCATTATAGGTTATAGGAATATATTTCTGCTTATAAACAAATAAATTCTCGTATAGCGTAACAATCTATATATTTTTTTTTTATAATAATAGATATAAAATAGATGAGATATATTGTCGAAATATTAGAAAATTAATTTTTAGAAAAGTCACATCAATAAATTTAATTTAGCAAAG